CGTGTACGCGCGTGTGTATAAATAGACGAGGTCGGTGCGCGTGCCCACGCATGCCAGCTTTACGCCACCGAGCATCCCTCTATCTTCCTCTCTCTCTCTCTCTCTCTCTCTCTCTCTCTCTCTCTCTCTCTCTCTCTCACCGTACCGGGTCGAATTTACATTTACAACCGTGTACGGAGAGGAAGAGAGAAGGAACGAAATAAATTCTCGTTAAATGCGATTCTCTGTCGCCTCCATTTCGTGTTTTTAATTTTACAAGCGTTTGAACTGGTTGTACTCAATCTCTCGATTTTTCTTTATGAGCGGAATTGGAAAATTACGCGATGGATCTGATATTTCTATACGTGGTGTTATTAACTCCATCTTTCTATCTTTTGGTAATATACTTTCGGGGAGAGAGTTGATGGGATACTTTTTAAGAGATAATTTTTAGCGCTTATTTAATTTAATACGATTTATAGGAATCTCCAGATGTATAGTTAAGCTTTTAACTTTGATCAATGATCTTATAAAACACTGATTGATATAAATATTAAGATATCGAAAGAAGTTTCTTGGAAGCCATTTTGAATACCGTGATTAATTCATAATTAGATGAATCTATGATTCAATAATTAGCATACGGCAGGAATTAAAACATTTCACTTGACAAATTTGTCAATTTTTTATTTTTCAAAATCAGAAATTACTCGTAGGGGATGACAAATTATTCGAGTATCACGAAAAGAGGTAGAGTTGAAAAAAAAAGAAAAAACTTCGTTCTATTAGATTGCAGATGCGTACAGTATCAAACGTTACGTTTTGATAATTAGTAAAACAGATGTTTTGGGAGGAGAGGTTTCGTGACAATTTCCGAGATAACGGATATTATTAACGTAACACGATGACATAGCGGCCAGGGAGACACCGTTCCGCGGGGACGGGGTATTGTCGTTCAGGAACCGTTTTATTGCCGTTTGCGCCAGTCCAGAGCCGAGGATCTCGCTCTGACGAGGACATTGTTCGAACCTCTGGGAGACTCTCATGATTGTCGTGCTTTCTATTCTCGTAATAGTGGCCGTATTCAAATAAACGTCGGTACACGTTTACGCGTCGCGATCGTTGGGCAATCGAGGAAAAAAAGAAAAAAAAGAAAAAAAAGGAGGAAGCGACTATTCCAACTTTGCTCCACAATTGACACCGACACGTTTGTTGATGACTTTTTCCTTTCCTTCCCGTAATTCGCGTGTTATTTATCATCATCGTCGTCGTCATCATCATCTATTATCTCTTTAAGCGGTGATAAAATTGATGTCGTTACGCATCGAGAAGATTCAAAAGATTCTCAATGCTTGTAATATTTCGTTTACAAGAGATAGTTGGATGCACGGAGAAACGAGTCGCGGGAATTTATCTTGCTTCGAAACAATGCGAATGGAATGTATTTGGTTCAACTGGCGGAGTGTAGCGATGGGATCAAGTTCAATATTGTATACTCGCCGAATCAAATCGACTAAGATATTTCGAAATGTGTTTTCGATAAAAATAGCATAAAATTTATATGCTTTATTCACAGTAACCTATATATATATATATTTAATAGAATTTGCTTATCTATTCGAGATTATCGAAATTATCGTTACAAAAAAATTACAAATAGTCCTACAAATAATCCTCTTGCAAAAAAGACCCGATTGCGTTTTATCTTCGAACCGTGGAATTCTCGATATGACCCATGCTTCGTCCCATTACTACTCTTACACAGAAATCTACTCAAAGGGGAATTATATTCCCTCCAAATACGTCGGATGAAAATCCATCCGGACCTAACCTAACCTAACCTAACCTAATCTAACTCGACCGCGCCGTCACACCTCCTTGCTTCTCGATACTGCTCCACGCCGCCACGTTTCACGCCGATCCCATCGTTATCGATCTACAGAGCGTTAATTGTACCGACCGTCTATGTAAATTAACGGGGGCTTACTCGCGGGAAAAAAAGTCGTGCAGTCGCCGCTTGAATTATTACGCAGATAGAGGAGACGCGGCCCGCGAGGAATCGCTAATGGCGCTGAGGGATCGATCCGTGGAACCGGTCGAAAAAATAGAGGAAATAAAATAAAAGAGAGGGAGAGAGAGAGAGAGGGAGAGGGAGCGGGGAGGAAGGCAGATCCTATTGGTTTCGCGCGACCGTTAACGGTCTTGTCGGTCTATTTCGATCGGCGTGGCCCCTACAACAAAAATCGAGGCGCCTCGCCGCTGGCTTTACCTGTTATCAATTAACTGTTAACGTTGCTGCACACCGCGGAACCGTAAGTGGCCTGCGTGCGCTATCGAAGCGGCGGCCTCTTTCTCTATGAATAATGTATCTCGGTTCGGGGAATTCGTGGCATTTAATCATTGAATCGTTAAGAAACGGACTGACGAGCGGACTCGGAGGAGATTTATAACGTAGAGTATTCCTGCACCGTCATGAGAATCTTGGATCGCGGGTGATGGCCTGTTTCGATCGGGTTGGTTCAATTTTCGCGTCGTTCGTCGTTGGGATTACGAACGCTCGATAATCTCGTTCGAACGGATGATTTCTTTTCCCAATGAATGACGAAGGGAAATGAATAAGTGCTTGCGCGCTACGTTGGTGAAATGGTGAAGGGAATGGATACAATGGAAAAATGATTTATAATAGGGTGGTTAATTTTTGAAAGAAAAGATGTTGAGAAAAAAAAATTGTTGAGAAGAGAAAAGAATCGATACAGAATTAATTCTAATATCACGGATTGGTATGTTTCTTTCGTTAATGGATCGTGAGATAATATGATTCCTAACGAACGCGACATCGTATAAATTTTATTATGGATAATTGCGTTGTTTAAAGTGTTGCTCCTGTTACGGATGGATCAATTCTTATAAACATTCGCTTATGATACAAGATAAAGTATACGAGGAAGCGAGATTCATCGGGTAATGAACAATAAATTAACAGATCGTTTCATTAATGAACCGGAAAATTTATTATTATGCGGCAGTTGTTAATTTCGATGCAATTAACAGCTAAAGAATATATTTCTAATTTCTTTGAATAAGTGCATAAATAATTACGATAATATATAATCAGACGAGAGATAATTATTTCGACAGTTGTTTATAACATTATCTTAGCAATACTTAATCTCTAAATTTTCTATCGCAGATTAAATGTTATGTAAGTTTTAATAATTGATATTGAATATTCGCAGAAAACTTGTTTAACATTTACCGACGCAAAATGCTATAATAGTATTGCATAAATCGTAATGATAATAGTAGCTTCCTCTAATAATTAGTAAACACATTATTAGAATTTTATGACTTCGAAATTGATACCTCTCTGATATTTTTACGACTCGAAGTTTCCATGTAAACAATTTGATTTCTAGATACATCCCTACAAAGAAAACTAATAAAAATAATTACTCCAAATTTCAGACATTATTCAAACATTCCAACAAAAAAAAACGATAACACGATAAAACGAACACTTGCCTAAAAAATAAAAAGAAAGAAATAAAACAATCATTCCAGATTTCAAGAAATATTCCTCGAAAAAGAAAAACAAAAAATTCGTCAGCAAAATAAAACAAAATAAAACAATCGTTTCAAGAAACCTCGGAAAACCTTCCAAGTTTCTTCGAAGTCTATGAATCCATTTCGAAAAGGTTCCGAATCTATCCGAGTCAGCCCATAAATAATCGACCGATATCCAGCACGGATAAATTCCAGAAATTTTCGCGTAAATCGAGCGATCACCTTGCGCGGAGGTTATCTTGGGGATCCTTGGAATGGGCGCAGCCCAGTCCTACGCCGCGTAAATTTATGAACGAGGAAACGGCGTGGATCGCGGCGAGGAGCATAGGTTTCCTCGGTCGTGTCTCCTCCGTTGAGCGGCAGAACGAACCGTTCGGTGATATAAGGACGAGCGTGGGCGACGCTCGCTTTTCAAGCGCGGATCGCAAGCGCGACTTCGAAACTGGTTCCAAGCGAATTAGACGGCCGCGAGGTGCCCTCCTCCTCCTCCTCCTCCTCCTCCTCCACGCCGAGGTGAAACTGCTCGTCGCCGCTGGTGCGTTACGGAAAACGATCTATGGACCCATTCGTTACTCCTCCTCCTCCCTCTCTTTTTTATCCGCCCATCCCGGTGAGAGATGGACCGATTTCTTCCGTCCGTGATTCCACTCGGGCATAAATTCTACACTTTGTGAGAGGGATTTGATTTAATTCGTCGTGGCAGGCCCCAGTCGTTAACCAGGATTTCGCATTCGAACTTGGAAAGATGTATCGTCTTAGGAGAGGATAAAGAAGGAACGTGAAGAATGTCGCGAGGGTATTGAACTTTGAAATTTTAATTCGACTCTTCGACGATGATTCGTTGTCAATTGTTGTCAAATAGGGATTTTCAATAATTTGGAAAGTGTTGGTACCCGTTCATCTTTAGATTTTGTATTATATTTGCATTTAAGATTTAAATGTATCGTCGAGATATTTTCATTTTCACGAATAAAATTTTGTTCATCAAAGTTGAGAGGATCTCGGTTCGTAGAAGAACGAAACTGACGAATTAAAAAGATTTCGTATCGAAATCTGTCTTCGACGAAAGGACATTCGTTAAATTCGATTTCCTATTAAGATTAAAAATATCTAGATCAAAGGATACCCTTTGAAACGATTGCCAGGAAAATCTCAGGAGTACGAACCAAGATTTCGTCGACTGCCCTTAAGTGCTACTTATCTCGAAACGATCCGAATTCAAACGTTAAAATAATTCCCTCCAAAAAAAAAAAAAACGAATGATGGAAAGATCGCAGGAGTACGGATCGAAGTTTGATCGACCGCATGAGAGGACGAAGGTAGAGATATCTCGATCAATTTCAATCTCTGCTCTCTTCGATTCAAAGGGCGGGCTTCATAAATATTCAAAAGGCGGCAGGTGAACCCTTTGCAACGGAACCCGAAGAACGAAGTCGAAGGAAGACAAATAGATTTACCTTATGCGTCATTCCATGACCTTGAAGCCGATAGGGTAGCTGGCTGCACTTCCGGTTCAACTCCAATTTTTCTCACTTTTCCACCTGTCCCCGATTCTTCTTTTTCCCCTTTCTCCTTATCCTTTCCTTTTTCTTTTCTTTCCTTTCTTCTTTTCTTTTTTTTTTTTTTTTTCCGTCAAACTCTTTTCCGCGTTCCACGATGCATGTAAACAGTTCGACGCGTTCACCCACGGGAGAGAAAAGAGAAGATATTCGGTCGGTCGAAGGGAGGAACAGAAGAAGAAGAAGATGGAAGAAAACGAAGAGGGGAAACGGTATATATATGTATATATATATATATAGAAAGAGAGAAGGCACACCTGGTTTTTCAACAACGGCACACTAATCCCCGCACTCTCAGAGCACTTCTTCTTCTTCTTCTTCTTCTTCTTCCTCTTGATTCTTCAACCGATGAGATATCTACAAGTATCCAGATCGTAACGTCCGATCGAACATCTTGGAAACACGATGCTCGCGAGCCTCCGCGACGACGAATCGGAAACGATTCCCTGTTGCAAGAGGCCGTGCCTCGTGGCGGCGGCGACCACGTGGTGTTCGACCGACAGACACCTTCCCTCGCTCTCTTTCGCCGCGCGTCACGCGGCCCACGTTTTTCGGCGCGGATTCCTTCCAAATCCTTTCAACCGGTCACCGATCGTACAACGATACCGCGGTTGCCAGCGCGGTGATCATCGATCAAATCAAACGATATCTCACAATTATCCTTCTTCGTTGACTAGAGAGAGAGAGAGAGAGAGAGAGAGAAAGAGAGAGAGAGAAAGAGAGAGAGAGGGAGATCTCGTCGCCCGTTGTTGTCACCCGTTCAGACGATCTCGTATTATCGATCTTCGCGCCTCTCGTACGATGCTGTCGTTCGTCCTTATGTTATCCTGATAACGGCGAGGATGGGTCCTGTGTCCCGCGCGTTCTCGTTCCGTTCGATCGTACGCGTGCGGATCGCGTGGTGGATGTGGTGTCGACAGGACAGCCGAGTCCTGACTGCGACCGGGGTCCCTCGGTCGGTGAGCGATCGGAGAAACGGAAGGAGCGAAACCACGTTGCTCAGCACCGTCCGGCGATCGTTTGGTGCTCCTTGTCCAGGTCCTCTCTCGAGGCGTGTGATATCCCCCCTCCCTCCCCCCTGTCGGATCGCCTCGTGGACGAAGCGGAATATCAGCGAGCGCTCTCGGAGGAGATTCGTGAGACGCGGCTCGCTGCGAGCCGTGGCGCTCCGGCGTGGCGGGTGACGGGGAGAGCCGTGGCTTGGCGTGGCGCGCGGCGAGACGAGACGATTCTCGGGAGGAGAAGGCGGAGGAGCGGGAGGAGGAGGAGGAGGAGGAGAAGGAGGAGGAGGAGGAGGAGGAGGCTGTGTGTACGGTGGTGAGTAAGCCGAGAGTATATTCAACACGGGTATATATCGGCGAGTAAAGCTGCGTGGCGCGAGTTGGAGGAGAGGAGGGCAGAGAGCGAGCGAGCGAGCGAGCGAGCGCGGCGTGGTCGCGAGCGATCGGAGTGGCGAGCGGAGAGACACGGGCGAGACACGGTGCCAGGGGGAGGAAAAAGAAGCGGTGGAAGGAAGAGAGAGAGAGAGAGAGGAAAGTAGACCAAGTCGGTGGGATGGAGCGAGAGGGGGGCAGGCGGTGGAAGCGAGACGGTGGACGAGATCGCGAGGAGAGCGCACGCACACAAAGAGGAGAACGGCGAGCCGTGGTGGATTGGGCGGGGAGAGCGAAGCCGTAGGTTGGCGGCGGGTAGGTTGGTAAGTAGGTAGGTAGGTAGGTAGGTGAAGCACGAGGAACACACACGGTGGACGGTTCGCCTGTGTCGGGTTGTTGCGGGTAGTCTGGGTGGATCGTGGATGGATCCGTGGTGCGCGCTCCAGGTAGGAAAAGGTGTGCGCGTAAAGGATAGCGTGGCAAGGAGCTCCCCCTGCGTGTTTAACCGTGAGAGAAGGTAAGTGCTCTCCTCTCTTTCAGCCAAGGAGAGTAGCAGCAGCAGCAGCAGCAGCAGCAGCACCACGCCGGCACGCGACCTGCCCTCTCCCACCCCCTTCTTTTCTCGCTCTCCCGATCTCCCTCTCTTTCTCTCCCTCTTTCTCTCCGTCGTCGATCGTTCCTTCCTTTTGCCGCACCGCCACCGCCTCTCCTTCTTCTAACGCTCCTCGATCTCCACCGCCGGTTTCCTCTACTGGCGGCTTCCTCGCCAACACGCTCTCTCTTTCTCTCTCTCTCTCTCTCTGTTCCCCTCTCTCCTCGGATCCGTGCCGCTCGAAGGGATTATCGCGAGTGAGACGGAGGACGGTACTCTAGGTAGACGTAGCGTGTGCATCGGTGCACCACTCCTACCAGGTGGACACACCGGAATCCTCCCACCGAGACGCGAGCTCGTGTACACGAGGAGAGAGGAGAAAGAGAGAAAGAAGTTGAGAGGAGCCGGGTGTAACTATCTCCTCTCTGTCGTTAATCGCGGTGTAACCTCTCTCTCGGCCAGCTAATTCACCTTTGTAACTGTACCGACGTCCCACCGAGATCGCTCTTCGTGGATCATTAGTCCCTCGTTTTTTCCCTCCCCTCCCCCACCTCCCCTTCTTTACGATCCAGCGATAAGGCGATCTTGTTCACTCGGTTTCCCGGATGAAAAGCACGGAGATTCAAAATTCTTCACCCCCCTGATTTCGATTTCGTTCGATCGACGAAATGCATTTACGTGTCTCGTCGTGCATATTCATCGATTATGCACGATTAATCGCGTGTCATCGTTGCGTCTTTGCAATTTAATTACACGGACTAATTGCTTTTTCTTTATTTTTTTTATTTTACTTTTTTCTTTTCTCTAATAATAATCGTCTCGATAGTGCGTCAACGTTCTTCCATCTTTTCTCCCTCCTCTTATCCCTCTTCCTTCTGGAGAGAACTGGAAGAAACTTCGTCAAATTGTTCGTCAGATTGACTCCCGTTTCGTCCGTTTCTCGGGCTATTCGCTAATTCGCCTCAGTAACTGTACCGACCGCCCCACCATCGGGCCGGTTCCTCGCGATGACGAGCCGGTTGTCCTAGGACCGGGCCAGCTCGTTACGGTTTCGTTCACGCGGGATCCCCCTCCCCTACTACGGATCGGATCCGACCGCTTCTCCTTTCGACTCGTCTCCGAGCGGAACCAACCGGACGGGCTTGGTCGAGATCCTCGCCGATCGATTGTCATCTCGGATCTCTTTCTTTTCGGAGAAAGCGGAGCGAATTTCAATCCAACGAAATCGTTGATTACATCGTTTCAATTTTGCGCGATATTTTATTTCGCATTATCCAGAAAATTACACCGAAAATTACACCGAAAATTACACGAACCGGAGTCATAAGAATACTGGTTTTATATATATATATATATTTTTCTCTCATCCAGTTTTTTTCCTCTCTCCACTGCCAAACCCCAGTGTCTCTTAATCTTTATACCACGTAGACGCGTAGCGAGGAAGTCCGTAACGATCCGGGGAATTAAGACTTGCGGAATTTTTTTTACCAAGTCGTTGGACCTGAAGAATCCAACGGTCTCGATCGAACCTCCCATTCCTATTATCGGTGCAAATTTATTTAATTACATATTTGTCGGCACCGTTTCTTTTTTTTTTTTTTTTTTAATTAGCGAAGCTGCAAGGCGGCCCGACGACCGTTGCATCGCGCAAATTACTCATCCTTGCGCCGCCATATTTGGCGGAAACTTTATCCAAGTTCTGGCTTTCTGGGTCAATCTCTGGTTAGCTTCTTAGCTTTAGGTTGCCCGAGACGCCCGAGAAACTAAGCACGCCGAGTAAATCGAGGAGGCAGTGTACGTGTATACACGCCTCGAGACCTTAGATCATCGGATCCTCGTGGATCTGCTCGCTCTCCGCCTTGTTGCGCAACGATCACCGCCGTCGGTGATCTCGGGCACAGCAGTCCTGACACAGTTACCTGGTCAGAACGTTACGGCCAGATTAAAAGAAATGAAGAAGAAAAAAGAGAGAGAGAGAGAGAGAGAGAGAGAGAGAGAAACGAGAGCCACTCTCCTCCAACAACCTTCTCTCCCTGCGCTTATCCGGTGTTCACGACTTTTTTTTTTTTGCCTCACCTTTCCTTCGTCCAACGGTATCTCTTTCTTCCACCGATCTTAGAAATTTTCTTCGACAGTTAAAAAGAGATTCTGAAAATTTTAAGAAATATTTTTAACGATTTTAAATTACAAAGAATTGAAGAGATAATTGGCACAAGTGTTGACACAGAAGAAAGATAATTTCGAGAATTTGAATTGGCGGAGTGAGAGTTTCGGAGAAATAAATAAATAAATAAATCTTTCGGAACGAATTGAAAATTTACCACTCGAATTATCGAGACCAAGAGCGGTCGATAAAGATTGTCGTAAGATGTACGAGGCGTAAGCTCATTATCGCGAGCTGTCATCGCGGATACACAATGAAGGGCGCAATAAATTGGCGCGAGTTGGTGTCGATCAAAAGATGGTGTCGTCGATCGCCTGATATTTCAGGCTGACAATAGGTAGGTCGGAATTCGCGGCCGCGTCGCAACGGATTCTTCCCTCTCGCATTCTATTCTGTACGATGACACTTCCCGCGGGATCGAGGCGACACACTCGGTGAGAAACCCGTAATTAGGCGCCTACGCGCGCGCGAATATCGGCGGGGAATGACGCGAACTGCGAGCCGACCCACGATGGACGGTGAAATTAAGGAGAAACGAAGGGATCGTTAGGCATTCGATGACGACATTCGATGAGAGGACATCATCGACGTCTTCCAGGGAACACCAACTGGATCATCTTCATTTCAAAAGCAACAATTTTCATCTCTTAAAACTATAAATGTTAAACTTATATCGGTTATAAAGTAAGAAGAATTGTTAAAATAAAAAGTTTAAATTATAAAACCAACGAAGATCTCTCAAGATGAACGGAGGGGTTGTTATTGGATAAGGGCATCGAATCGACAAAGTATGCAGGTAAATCCAATTTCCCTTTCTCGAAAACAAAAGGAGGAACAAAATTTCGCAAAGAAATCCTTACAACTCGATCACAATTCAGAGACGAGCACACCTCGATCACCTTTACGATTTTTCATTTCATCGCCTGACGAACCAATATTTTTCGCCGATCCGTGGTTTCGATATTTTCGCAACGATCGCCAGGGATCCATCGAAAACGTTCGAGTGGTTTCGTGCACAGCCCCGGGGTCGGGAATCGGGGCGGTTGACCAACGACGCCGTTAAAGGAAGATTTAGAGCGAGAGTTGGCGCAAGGTGGCGCGGAAAGCGCAATAACACTGCGGGCGGGATTCGAGAATAGGCCATAAAAGAGGATCTCGGACGCATCGCGCCATCAGATCGAGCCGTTACGATATCGAACGATTGCCAATAGGATATTTCGCGATTCCTCTTCGATTGTTCGCCACCTTGCCGACCCAATTACCAACTGACCCCGCTCGAGTTTCATTAGAATCTGTAATGTCGCTTCGAGGTGGTGGTTAGCCGAAATCCGTGGGAGAAAATCAGGTTGAACCTGTCTTCTTTGGGTGGCTCTCTCTCTCAGTTTTTCTGAGAGAAGGGACATTATTTCATGCATCTCGCGTTTAAAAATTTCGATGATATTTCAAAGATGAACGAAATATTATTTTGATCGAACACCGCAACTAATCCCACGTTTCACTCCGATTATTATGAAAGTCTGCTACGAATGAAACAGAGTAGATAGATAACGTACAAAATAATCCAAAAAATAAGATTTACGATTGAATCCAGTTATCTGAATCTAAATTCCGGTTATTTGAACGAAAAATCAGTTAATCTATCCAGTCACACGAACTATTTGTCCCCTGTCAACTTTACACAAACGAAATTCTACCGTGCGAAGAAATCGATCGCCATTCGACGATTATATTTCGTAGATCGATAGAATCGGTACGGCTTTCCCGTCCAATTTTCTCCAATTACATAAAATACGATATCATCTAGCATATAATATCAGGATAAAAGCTTGATTCGTTTC